TCGTCTAACGGAGTCTCGAACCCACGCCGGAGGAGAGGATGCAGCCACCACACAGTCACGAATGACAGGAATCCAGCCGTGTCCAGAGGGTTTTCATTCGAGGTGGTTTTGTTCTGGATCCATTCATCTTCAGCGAGTTGGGGGTCAGCTGATTTGCTTGTCCTGAGAGCATGAAAGTCAACGTCGACGGCGAATACGCTCGTTCCTTTTTCGCGGGGAGTCACCACGGTCTCCATCGACTTTTGCAAAGGTAAGATGATTGTCGGTAGTGACCGTATGCTTAGTCTTGGGCTGATTCCGGAATGGCATTGTGAAGTGAACCGAAACAACGGTTGGTCCGTTGCACACTTTTTCAGCGCTAAGCAGGCCGTTAAATGTATTAATAGGTTGTGTCCTCGTGCTGTATATTGAATGGCAACCTGGAGTAGCATTCACTTGTTTTGTATTGACTTTCCTCACCTCCAGTAACCGATCTCATGAAACGCAGTTATCGGCTTCAGTCTCTTTTATTATTGGCGACGGGTTTTCACCTACCTTTGAAACCCTTCGCAAACCAGTGAACAATGATGAGCAGACCACCACAGCCTGCCTGAAAAATTCACTTTAGAATTCTTCAGGCAGGCTGTGGTGGTCTGCTCATCAATACGGTTTCGCTGTGGCTACTTCGAAAAATCAAACGAGGTCGAAGATCGAGCATGTTCGGGTGTTCCAACGTGTTTTCTACGAACGGCTTCATTATAAATGAGATTATCTGCGGATTGTATCGTAATTTTGCAAGGTCAAGATAGGTAACGTTACTAGGGAGAGTGTCAGCCGAGCAACGCTGTGGCACATGAGGCTGTATAATAAGTACAGTGGTCCTAGTGTTAGCACCAAAATACAGACACCAGTTAATTATGTATCGCAGCTAAATTTGCCATGTGAAGTAGTCATGCCTTCAGCAGTTACCGGTATTTGCTTTATTTCTCAAGGATAATATTTTTATCCAATGACAACGACGAAAATTGGTACAGGTACGGGGAAAAGGGTACCTGTACCTTTTTGCGCTCTTTGCAGCAAGTCAAGTTTTTCGGTGGTGCTGTCTGCGTAGAGCACTGCAAACGTACACTCAATGCTCGCGCCTGGCATTACCCCATGATATTAAGGCCACACTATCGGCTGTAGCCTTCGCTACACGGTTGAATACCCTCCACTTGCACAACGGGCATCACGACCGGAGGCCCTCTTGCCTTCCACAGAAACAAAAATAATACAATTGAACCTTTTAAGATGAATATCGTGATATGGTGACGTCCTACAAAAATGAAAAGAAAAGAAGAAACTCAGATATTTTGGCCCCAGACTGTATATTCTCGGTTATAAACTCGAGTTTAAGTTAGCCAGATATCACTTACGACTTGACTCTGATTTATGAAACACTCTTTCGTGCCTTGATGATCCGAGTTATAAACTCGTGTCTCCTCCATAAACGCTAGTTATGAGTTTGAAACGCAGATTGCCTTCCAGAAGGGCAAAAACGACTTAACTGCTGCCAAATCAGACCGCTACATCAACGTCAATTCCAAATAGAGATTGCATGTCTCATGAAGACTCGGATTTAGTGGTAGTTCAAGTCTCTTTTAGAAGTCTATAATATTTGTTAGGCTCATAACTCCCCCAAAGTCCCCAAATCTACTCAATTTGTTAA